AGACAAAGTAATAACCTCAGAGGAATCCATAAATTAAGGAAGTCCACGTATAAGAGAAAATTCACTGTTCTTGGAGGAACACAATCAAGGTGTTTTATTCATGACAATGACACGCTTCTTTGTTATTACTTAATACTCATTATTTTTACTTTGAAGAGTTTATATGATACCGATAACAGACTGGAAGCGCTAACGCGAAGGGATTATCACGTTGAAACTTAATGCCCTTGAAACCTACCAACAACGATTATTCGGTAACACAATATATGTACATCCTAACACGTAGTTAATTAAGATTTCAATTATGTGCTGTATGTTATCGAGACAAACAAGACAGGTATCGTTTTTCATCACGCAAGGAAGTTTATTAAGACATTGAGAGAGTTGATTGATTAAGAAACGATTGGATGGACAGAGATCATTTGGAGAAAGGCGGAAACTGTTCATTGCGATTATGAGAAAATGTCTTCTGATCTATCGGTTATTTTTCAGTGCATCTGTCTATTCGAATTGACAGTGCGCCTTTACATGGAATTTCCCCATTTTTATTTTAATAAATTGTGAGGAACAATAATAATTCGAGCGGCAATCATTAGAGTTGACAAGAGCAACCGACAATGTCTACGCAGAATCTGCTGTGCGATCAATATAATAACTGACTACTTGAAAAACTTGAATTAACAAATAAAGAAAGGGACAAAGCCTCGTGATAACTATGCAATACAGTCGATAATTTTGTATTGCAATAGAAAATGACAAGTAGATATAAACATATGAACTTACTCTTGGTCCGGCCGGCGAGGGAATCTACAATCCTATACAGTTGTGTGCCGGTCACGCAGATCAATAGATGACAGAATTTCACGTGTTTTTAGCTCTCCAAGAAGATTTACAGCATCAGCAGTAATATCACAGTCATTTTTTGGGGGGGAAAGAATGGACGTTTAAACAGGGAGGGCGAATTAGCAATTTTGATAACTCATTGGAACAACGGAGAAGTGGGGATTGAAATTGAGGTAAGTCACTACTGACAAATACTCTAGACACACACTGAAGAGAAACGTGGTTTTGTCTCTCTTCCTGAAACGATGCCTTCTGCGCCGGTCCGTTGACTCGACGGTCGCATGCGTCGTCAAGGTGACGCACACTATCTACTAGCTGCCTTTCAATTTTACGTTTCCTCTCGTCTCTCTCTCCTCACTTTTCATCACTTCATATATGCGTCCATTACGATTGATCTGCCAGATTTAATGTCCGACGTCTTTCAATTGGGAGAAATTAACGCGCTCTCTTCGGTTTCGTCAGGAAGTTCAGTCATATTTCATTTCCGGGGGCGAGCGGTTGGTCTGCCCGGGCCACCAGGCCTTCGCTGCATTAAGAAAAAAACATCCTTGTTTTGATTCAATGTCATTGAATGCCTGATTTTTCGGATTGAAATTTAAGCATGTTCCATAACCATATATAGTCACAATTCACGTTTTTTAATTTTTTTTTTTACGAATTATCGATGGGATTGATGTGCAAAAATTATTTAATGGGTGGAATTAAATATCATTATTTAATGGATCATGGAGTTTTGTGGTGCTGCGATCATTTTCATGCATTATCTCTACAGCTTTGTGATTATTTTCAAAAGTTTAGAAAAAACGCTGGAAAATGTTCGCACCAACTTGAAACTTGGTGAGTTATTAAATAATAACAAAACGCAAAAATGTTATATTTTATCATGTCAATCCCATCGTAAGTTTGCCAGAAAAATGAAAAAACGTTGGCTTTGACTATATATGGGTGTGGAACACCCTTAATTGTCTTAACGTTTCAATTCTACATTTCAAGTCTCAATTCCCTACACGGAAAGAAATTTGAACAAAAATTACAGAACAAATACTTAAAAAAAATTATCGACTATAATAGTAGGTTCGGCACTATTTATTTAACTGTCTATTCAATTCTAACGCTCTTTGGGCACATCTCAAAATCTGAAAAAAATTTAACATGTACAATTAGTCAATTAAATTTTTAAAGAACGTGAAGTTGCATCTTGTGTTGTTCTATATGGAAGACAACTTAATGTTCGTTACAAACTTATTTGACTTATGTTTGTACACGGGGTCATAAAATAAGTTGAAGAACGACATGTCCTAGACCCGGATGAGTGTGTCGTAGGGCAATTTGATAGCTTTGAAGCTGGTTGACGCATTCGGGCGAAAATTAAATAGTCACAATGAGGAATTGTCATAAATCCTAATTGCTTCAATTATCGATAACACATAAATGGCAAGCAGTTAAATATATTTTATTCTTGAAAAAAGAGGGCATGTAGTAGAGATATCAAATGAAAAATTTAGTCATTTTTTCAGTTCAAATGTAAATCAGATTTTAACACGAAATGCTTA